TCAATCCAGTAGTTCAAAAACATTGTTTAAAATTCAGTTGTGTAGGAAATAAATTCTGTATATATAATCTATAAAGGCATAATAATATTTTTTCTGTCAATGATCTTTCTTAACCATCCTCAATTGTATATGAGTTGGGTTAGTGAATCATTTGACCCTTTTTTCTTTTGAAAAAACAGGGTAAGTACTCTTTAAACTATCTTTGGACATAGGGTTGTCATAAAATATTGCATTTCTTACTAAATACGATTGGTTTTATTGATTAGTCTCTATTTTAGATGAACTATTTTCCTGAATGGAAAATATAGCTGCACCACACTGGTGGAGTGTTGTCATCCAAGTTTTGGTTACTTGCAGGTCTTGTTTTTTGTCATGGCTGGAACATTGTAGCTGTTACATTAGCTTTATTCAAAGAAGAAGCTAAGGTTGATGGACGTGGTTGGTGCTTCATTATATGTTGAGCCACTTTGTTGGGATTAACTCACATGTGTTTCTCACAAATCCAACAATATAGTTTCTTGTGGTCAATTGGTCATATATTTCATAGCAAGTGTTCTGGAGCCTGTGTATGGTACCACCCTATGTGCCATGTAATAAATTGTGGGGAACTTCATGTATGCCTTTCCTCTCTCTGGCTTCTCACTAAGAATTCAAAATATTCTCAATTACTCTCTCAGGTCCTAAATAAACTTCACACTTTTCTTTTTAGGGCAAGTCCAAAATAAACTTCACATTTCAATTTTCAATTTTTGATAAGTTTTTAATACAAAGTTACTTTTATACTCTTACTTTATTACCTACTTTGCACCCACTTTCTCTCTTCCACTACATCTAATCTACTTTTTGAGGGGTGTGATGGGAAAGTCAAAAGCAAAATTTCCACTTTGTTAAAAACTGTAAAGTCAAAGTGTGAAGTTTATTTAGGACCGGAGAGTATTTGATTTATTTTTCTCACATATACTTCACATAGGTGGATCCAAGGAGATCGGACGTGTTCTGTTACCTTTAAGGCTCATCTAAGTATTTTGTTTACTTCATATTTACCTTTTTACTAAATTTTGATTATTCGGCATTATGTTGTACATTCTTATACTTGTTTTACGTATAACCTTATGATTATGTTTTGAATTTTTATTTTTGTTTTTGTTTCAACGAAACTATTGGGCTATTGTTTTCTAATCAGAATAAAGATGCATACGTAGTATTTTGAAGAAAATCATTGGGCATTTACCCAATCGCGCAACGCGCGTATAAATAACTAGTATCATTATATTTGACATTATGTTTCTGAAATATACTGATCTACTCCATATTAGATTTCGGTTGGCAATAGAGATCTCTGATAAGACTGGCATGCTTGTAACCACACTATTTACGAACTTCGCTGGTAAATAGTGTTTGTAAAAACATTGTTAAATGTCCCACACCGGAAAATTGAGAAGCATTAGAGTGCTATATTAAGCTTCGGGCTACTCTTCCTAACAGGTTGACCTTTTAGGATGGAACCCCGGATCTTAACATGGTATCCGAGCCAAATTGATCCATGGTGTGAGGCCCCTTATGAAAAATGACGACACGATAAAAAAATTGATGAACCGATGAAAAATGAATGACGACACGATCCAGACGAAGTGTCTGGTCGTGAGGAGGGGTGTTAAATGTCCCACACCGGAAAATTGAGAAGCACTAGAGTGCTATATTAAGCTTCGGGCTACTCCTCCTAACAGGTTGACCTTTTAGGATGGATCCCCGTGTCTTAACAAACATCCTTATATTACAGTCCAAGTTGCTGAGTTTGATCAAGTTAAAAAGTTCGCAAGTTGTGTCATTAAAACCTCACTTTCTCTGTTGCTTTGAAGACTATTTAAACAATATCACAGAGAAACAAAGAAAAACATTAGTTGGTTTAAAAACATTTATTTTAAAAAATATAATACCAATTGCAAGTCAATTACTTGGGTTTTTCTGCAAATACTCAACTTGTACTTGGCACTAAAGTGGATGACAAAGATATGCTTTCTTTCATTGTCATGTTACAAAAAAAAAAACTATTTTTCCATTAAACAAATCATTAAACTGATGGTTATTAAAACAATTATATTCATATATCATTTCAATTATTTCATTTTATAAAAATCTTTTTTTGAGTAATTATATTTAATATGACTACATTGGGCATCATTCGCACGTAGTGCGCACTCCGCTAGTGTGTGTGTGTGTGTAAGGGACCACTTCTCACCTGATCTTTTCCCTATATATATATATATATATATATATATATATATATATATATATATATGTATATATATATATATATGTATATATATATATATATATATATATATATATATATATATATATATATATATATATATATATAGGAAAGTTCATGTCAGGACCTCCAAAAACGGACCTCGGCGTTTGGGCCCCTTCTCGGTGGAATTTTTTGATGAAATTTTTTGAGCATGTTCTTCATCAAGTATAGTTTACCCATACCAAATTTCAGCTAAAACTTCCATCGGGAAGGTAGTCAAATAAGTTTTGGAAGTTAACTGCATTTTATATGTATATAAAGTGCGCAGTTAACTTCAAAAAATCATTTGACCGCCTTCCCGATGGAATTGTTAGCTGAAATTTGGTATGATTAAACTAGACTTGATCAAGAACATGCTCAAAACATTTCATCAAAAAATTCCACCAGGAAGGGGCCCAAACGCCGAGGTCCGTTTTTGGAGGTCCTGACAGGAACACTACTCTCTCTCTCTCTATATATATAAATATATACACATATTATATATATATACACATACATATATATACATATAGGAGAGGGTTCTAGTGTGAACCCCTCTTAAAATGAGAACCCGTGAGAACCCCTAACAACCGGTGGTATTTTTGGCTGAAAGTTTTTGTGTATGTTCCTCATCCAGTCTAGTTCATCCATACAAAATTTGAGAAAAAAATTCAATCGGGAAGGTCGTCAAATGATTTTTGAAATAAAATTGGTCCGGAATATACATATAAACGCAGTTTTCTTTCAAAAATCATTTGACGACCTTCCCGATTGAATTTGTTGCTCAAATTTGGTATGAATGAACTAGACTTGATGAGGAACATACACAAAAAAATTCAGCCAAAAATACCACCGGTTGTTAGGGGTTCTCACTAGAACCCTCCCATATATATGTATGTATATATATATATATATATATATATATATATATATATATATATATATATATATATAGGGGAAAGATCAAGTACAAAGTGTGCTTATTGTGCAAATGTTTGTACAATGCACCTTGGCGTTATTTGCATTGCATATTGAGATTCAAAGTATTGCATGTTATATAGTCATAAAATAGCAGTTGCACATTAACGTTCAACGAGTTGCACCCTAGAAAAGTTAGATTTTATTACAAAAATGCCACCTTGCCTTTATATCCTTTAGATCAACTCATCGGATGGCCAAGATAAGTTTGTACTTTGTAAATTAAACATGATTTGTATTTGATCTCTATTCTATATATATATATAATGCATGTGCTGGTAGATAGTTTACACCCGTGTATATTTATATTCAATTTTATTTATGTATGTGCAGACACTACCTATATGCATGTCATTAGATATACGGGCACAACCGCTCAATATTAGATTTATGTCGTATGGGTAGAAATTTTTAATGAGATGGATGTATGTATGTGCACAACCGCTCAAAATTCTTAATGACATGCATATATGTGCACATTCAGCATGTGTGATAAATTTCACAATCAAAAATTAAAATAATACTACATCCGGTTTTTTTTAATCTTCACAGTTTGACTTCACACAAAATAAGGAAAAAAATTTGACTTTACTGTAGAGTACACTGTTGAGGCACTGTTTGACACTGTTTGGCATTGTAGAGACACTGTTTGGCACTGTTGAGTCACTGTTTGGCACTGTTTTGATGTAGATTTCTTTGCCAAAAAAGGAAATAAGGAAATGTGAAGTTTATTTTAGATCGTCCCAAAAAGGAAAATGTGAAGTTTATTAAAAACTGGAGGGAGTACTACGTACTACGTACATGTCATTAAATTTAAAAGTAATTATCCTAAATGGGAGTAAAACATGGAGAAAGTTCCAAAATAGGAGTTGTTATTAATTAATTCCTGGAATAGGAGTATTTAGTTGACCGGTCCGTTTGTTTTGCCAATTTTACCCTTCTTCACAAATTATTTTGTTTTATTCTACCAGATTCTTTTCCTTTCTTCACGCAACCTATTTTCAACTCTATCCTCTCTCTATCTTCACCGAATCCTCTCCCTTCTCTCTTCTCTTTCCTCTAGCATTTCTTTCCCTTACCAGTCTTTTTCCATCTCCCACTTCTCCATCTAGGTTAGATGTAACACCGTCCCCAAATATATTTACTTTTATGTAAATAATGTATTGAACCTTATTAAAGAATTAATGAATTTACGAAGTTGTAAATTTTTATTATTTCTTTCGCGTGGATAGTAAATTGCACGTGGGACCCACACCGGGAGCGGGGGCCGCCCGACACTCCCGAGACCACATATTTTATCCATCTTAGTCAAGATAATATTTATATAGTGGTGGATATTTAATTTGGGTCGTGGAAAGGCGCAGAGTTGGCCGATTGAGAAAAAAGAGGTCCAATTACCGGTACCGACAATTTAACAGGTAACAGCCCGGAAATGAATTTCGGAGGCTTATAAATTAAAGTTGGGGAATGTATATTCATTATACATGTCATAATGAGTAAGAGCACATAATATATTTTATTTGACCCGATAAAATAAAATATGATTAAAACAGTCCGAAAAAATACAACTTTCGGGGCCGATTGTACATTTCGGGACAAGTTGGGATGACCTCCCACATGAGTGGGGGCCACCCCACGTTTTTGGGTCTCAAATGGGACTTGTGTGGCCGCACAACATGTGAAGATGAAGCTAAATTGATTGGAATGGGATCATTTGAGGTGTGGACCTCACCCACACACATTATTTGTCAATTAAGACAAGGAAGGACACTTCCTACCTCTTTCCTCATCCTTGTGCTCGACCAACCCCTCCAAGAAGAAGAAAATTGAACTCTCAAAACACTCTCCATTGCTGCAACTCGAGCTCAAGCCATAGAGGTCCAAGGAGGAAGATTTGAGAAGGAAAAATCTAGGAAAAGTGTGAATAATAAAGGTAATGACATCATATTAACTTTTCCTTTATTCTTCTTCTACCATATGAAGTATATATCATGTGAAGAACCTTTATTATGGTTCCATATGATATAAGGGTGGATTCATGGGTTGGAAGATGGTTCTATGTCCAAGAACGGACTTAGAGGCCAAAACTACCGGTTCACCGGAAAATAACCTTTTTGAGGTCATTTGTATTAACATGGGTTTTATGACTATAAAACCTTGTTAGGAACTTGTAAAGGGTATTTCAAGTGGTTTCACAAAGTTGGAAAAGTCGCCGGAGTTGTCGCCGGAGTTGACCAAAAGTCACCGGAGTTTCACCGGAGTTCAACCAAGAGGGGTAGAACTTCATACGCTAGTTCAAGGTGAGTGGACGGCTTAATATCTTATAACTTTTGGGTTAATTATGAGATTACCTAAATAAATGTTATATGAGTTCATAATAATGTTTAAAAGATATTTAAACATGTGATTAGCCAATAGGGTTAAGTTTGTATGAAAGAAATTAATTGTTGATGCATGGAATATGATATGAAGAAATATATGAAATGCATATTTGCTTGAAGTGTATTAGAAGCACAAATGAATATTATTAACTTAATTATATGATGATTAAGTTGATACACACAAGGCATGAAATGGCGGTCAACGAAAACGTGGACCGAAGAACAAAGGATTTAATTAATACCGGTTGGTATTAACTAAATATAAATCTATATACATGCATGGTTTTGCATGGGTTGTGATACATAAGAATTTATGTATTGGATTAGTTATGAGTAACTAAGTATGATATAGACTCTATCTAGGTTGATAGGAGGTTGATAATAGGAAAACTTGGTGGAGGACCCTAGTACTTAAAAAGTACTTAACACTCAAACTTGGTGGAGGACCCTAGTACTTAAAAAGTACTTAACACTCAAACTTGGTGGAGGACCCTAGTACTTAAAAAGTACTTAACACTCAAACTTGGTGGAGGACCCTAGTACTTAAAAAGTACTTAACACTCAAAACTTGGTGGAGGACCCTAGTACTTAAAAAGTACTTAACACTCAAACTTGGTGGAGGACCCTAGTACTTAAAAAGTACTTAACACTCAAAACTTGGTGGAGGACCCTAGTACTTAAAAAGTACTTAACACTCAAACTTGGTGGAGGACCCTAGTACTTAAAAGTACTTAACACTCAAAACTTGGTGGAGGACCCTAGGACTTATGAGGCCTTAACACTCACAAACCGGTGGAGTATCCGAGGATTTTGATCCTAAAACTCATAAATTAGGATATACAAATAGGGCCAAGGAGGAGTCCTATACACTCATAGGTATATGGGTGGGTTGGGGTTTTTAGTCAAGAATATTGACTATTACTATTTTCCCGAATAAAATGGTGATCTACGGATCGGATATTTTTCAAGTATACATATACTAATAAGTATTTCATAACTTGGGGGAAAGATTATTTATTTAAGTATCACCCTATGTTTGGGTCTTATACTTGAAACGCTAGTTATTCTATATTTAGCCTGCTACTCGCTCGGTACTTGTACTGACCCCTTCGGGGGGCCCCACCATTTTCAGGTTGAAGCTAGGGCTTGCTACTTGCACCTTCTCACGGGTGATATCAAATCAGGAAGACGTGGTTCGTGCTTCCTTATTTTCTTTCAAACTACCGAACACTTGCTCATGGGTATTTGTTTTACTATAAACACTTTTTTGGGCTTGCATGCCCATGTTGTTGGCCGGTTGTGGCTTATGACTTACCGTTGAATATTTCCGCTATTCATTGGTTTAAATGTGATGTTGTTATGTATGTTTACTACTGAGTATGGATGAATTGTTTTCTCGAACGCCTTGTGTAATTAAGTGAGGTTGACTCGTGGGTGACGTCACTTAGTTATACGGCGGTTGTACACGCGCTTGGATCGCGGTCTGGGGCGTGACAATTAAGTGGTATCAGAGCCATCTCAGTTCTAAAATATATAATCAACCTCTCACAAAAGATTTTACAAAAGAGTTTCTACCGAAAACCATGAGCATTGTATTTTGACGTTTATAGGACTATTGGTGCTTAAGTTGCAAGGCCTCTAATTGTTAAGATGGTACCCTTAACAATTGGTATGGTAGTGACTTGGGCCAATACGTGTCTGTAACGTTCTTCCGTCAGTTGACATTTATAGGAGTCTAATGACTCATCCACATTTCTTTCAGAAATGGAGGGCAGGCGAATGAGGACCAGGAACAATCCGAGGGGGCAAGCGCCGGTAACATCCCAAAGGGGAAGCCGGGCTGCATCTCGGGGTTCGAGAGGAGGCCGGGGAGGCCGTGGAAGCCGTGGGGGTCATCAAGCTCAAACTGTGAGTGATGGCCATGTGAGCTCGGTGTATGAGACCAACACCGAAGACTACGACTCAACCTACGTGCCAGAGACGGAGCATGAAGAGACCCCGTATGATGGGGGTGACACGTACACCGATGATGACGATGAAGAGAGTGATGCCAAGTTCGCCCAAATGGGCGAATTGCTTGAATGATATCAAAAAGAAAAATTGAGGAGGGACCTTAGGCGCCAAGCGAGGCGTGGCTCTCGCGGTGGTTCGGGTCAAGGGAGCCGGGGAGCTTCCGTGCCCACCCCAGCGGCGTCACAAGGTGGACGTGAAGGAGGTTTTGTCGTGAGAATCTCCAAGTACCTCAAGGAGGCTAGGGCCTTGGGGTGTAGGTCCTTTGACGGCACCGGTGACATTACCGTTGCCGCCGATTGGATCAAGAAGGTGAAGGATGCATCAAGGGACATGCAAATCACACCGGACGTGAAGTTGACTGTCGCTTCACGGCTCCTTGAAGGGATAGCTTCTACGTGGTGGGAGAGCGTGGAAGGGAAGTACCATGGGGAAATAACATGGGCGGACTTTGAGCTAGAGTTCTATGCTCAATACTACTCCGAGTACGAGGTGAATGTGAAACGGAGAGAGTACACTAACCTCAAACAGAAAGAGGGCGGCACAGTTAAGCAACTGGAACAAGAGTTTAGAACCTTGGCTAGGTTCTTGCCGGAGTACGCGGTTGATGAGAACCGCATGACGGAGCACTTTTGGGATGCCCTACTCTTGGACATCCGTGACCGAGCTACGTACTCGCGCCACATGACCTTCAGCGAGGTGGTGGAGCAGGGCCTTCTCGGGGAGGCCCAATGGAACGAGAGAAAAGAGAGAGACGCCGAGGAGGCGAAAAAGAGGAAATGGCAAAGTTCGGGGCCGCCCGAGCAAGCACGGAAGGATAAGCACGGTGGAGGTGGCGGTTCGTTCAAGACACCGGCACCACCGGCAAAGAAGAACAGGGATGCTCGGTGGCATGCATCCTCCTCACAAAGGACGGGGCCTCCAAAGTGTGCCAATTGTTCGAAAAATCATTTTGGGAAGTGCAATGCACCCCCAAGGTGTTATCAATGCGGGAACACGGGCCACATGAAGGCAAATTGCCCACAATTAGGGGGAGGAGGAGCTTCGGGATCCGGAGGAGGAACCATGACGGGAAGAAACCGTGCGGGACCGTCAAACGGCGGTACGGGAAGAGGCGGCGCGTCCACAAGCCATGCCGCGTCCGTAAATCAAGGCGGGACCCAAGCACGAGTGTACGCAATGACCGAGGCGGATGCGCGAGCAAACCCGGACTCCGTTGCAGGTAATACACTTATTTTCCTATATTTCTAGGCTTATTTGGGTCGTATGAGTCATTGGGTTTGGGTGCGGGCCACCCCGGGGTCAAACCCCGCGAATTCGGGGCGAAACGGGCTAAAAACAACTACGCGCGATCGCGCGTACCTACAGACGCACGACCGTGCGTGCGAGGCAGTAGCCTCTGGCCGTTTTCCGCGCAGACGCACGCCGTGCGTGCAGGTCAGGCACGCCGTGCCTGGGACGCACGATCGTGCGTGACCAGCTACGCACGATCGTGCGTAGCCGGCAGTGGCGGATCTCTGATTTTCAAGCACGCACGACCGTGCGTGCCACCCAGGCACGCCGTGCGTGGACCCCCCAACACCCGAAACTTGATTTTTTCGCCCCGTTCTTCTACGTTTGGATCCCCGTTTGATTCCAAACATTAGTATGAACCTAATAACCTCCTAAAGATGTGTAAAAACATTAGAAAAGGTATCTTACATGGTGTATAAATGTAGGAACATTAAAGATCAATGGTAGGTGTGCGAGGATCCTCATCGATACCGGGGGCACAACGCTCATTTGTGAGTGAGGCGTTTGCCGAGGGGCTCGACGTGCCATTGACGCCTATGACACAAACATTGCTAGTCTCCACACCGTTGGGAGACGACGTGGAGAGAAATCATTACTATCCATCATGTGAGGTAGAAGTGACGGGTCAACCCTTGACTTGTGATTTCGTACCTCTAAGCATGTTGGAGTTCGATGCAATCCTAGGAATGGATTGGCTTGAGAAGCACCATGCTCGAGTTGATTGCTACACCAAGGTGTTGGAGCTCGAGGATGATCTAGGAAACACGTTATGTTTCGAAGGAGATCGGGGGAAATCTAGTGCTTGTATCATATCCGTGATGAGAGCACGGAAGATGATGAGGAAGGGATGCCACGCGTACCTTGCCTACGTGGTGGACGATACCAAGAAGGAAGTCGACATCAAAGATGTACGGGTCGTGTGCAGGTACCCGGATGTCTTTCCCAAAGACCTACCGGGGCTTCCACCCGATAGAGAGATAGAGTTTGTAATTGAAGTGGAGCCGGGAACCAAACCCATTTCGATTCCTCCTTATCGAATGGCACCGGCCGAACTCCAAGAGTTGAAGGTCCAACTACAAGAATTATTGGACAACGGGTTCATCAGACCCAGTCATTCACCGTGGGGAGCACCCGTACTCTTCGTAAAGAAGAATGATGGTACGCTAAGAATGTGTGTTGACTACTGACAGTTGAACAAGGTCACAATCAAGAACAGGTATCCTTTACCTAGGATTGATGACTTGTTTGATCAACTTCGAAGGGCCATAGTATTCTCGAAGATTGACTTGAGGTCGGGGTATCATCAGTTGAAGATCAAGGAGAGTGACATACCTAAGAGTGCATTTCGCACTAGATATGGTCACTACGAGTTTCTTGTGATGTCATTTGGTTTAACCAATGCACCGGCAGCATTCATGGACTTGATGAACCGGGTGTTTAGTGAATACTTAGATCAATTTGTGATAGTATTCATTGATGATATCTTAATATACTCCAAGAGCGAGGAGGAGCATGAACATCATTTGGGGCTTATACTTGATCGGCTAAGGGAAAAGCAACTCTTTGCCAAGTTCTCTAAATGCGAATTTTGGCTCAAGGAGATTGGTTTCCTCGGTCATGTCATATCCGGTTCGGGCGTTGCTGTGGATAACGCCAAGATAAAAGCTATCATGGATTGGGAGAGACCCAAGAATGTGAAAGAGATACGTAGTTTCCTTGGCTTAGCGGGATACTATCGTAAATTTGTTGAAAAATTTTCTGTATTGGCGTCTCCATTAACGAAGCTCACAAAGAAAGGGGCCAAGTTCATATGGGACGACAAGTGTGAGAAAGGATTCCTTGAACTGAAGAAACGACTAACCGAAGCACCAGTCCTTGCCCTACCCATACAAGGGATAGGGTATGATATATACAGTGATGCTAGCATCCAAGGGCTTGGATGTGTACTGATGCAAAACGGTAAAGTGATTGCCTATGCGTCAAGGCAATTGAGAAAACACGAGGTGAACTACCCTACCCATGACCTAGAATTGGGGGCGGTAGTGTTTGCACTGAAAATCTGGAGGCATTATCTCTACGGGGAGACGTGTCACATTTATACTGATCATAAGAGCCTGAAGTATGTATTCACTCAGAAAGAGTTGAATATGAGGCAGAGGAGATGGATGGAGTTGATCAAGGACTATGACTTGATCATCGACTATCCTCCCGGAAAGGCCAATGTAGTGGCCGACGCACTGAGCAGGAAGAGTACGTCGGGGACGCTACTCACATGTCTACAGGCATTGAGGGCGCGCGTGGAGGTGTCCACGTGCGGGGCTCTCATTGCTCGATTCGAGGTTAGGCCCACCCTATTGGGCGAGATTAGTCGAAGTCAGGCCATTGACGAGGAATGTCAGAAGATCCGTGAAAGGATCCTTGAAGGACCCGTTGAGAACTTCCGAGTACGCGATGACGGTCTATTATTGTTTAAGGATCGTGTATGCATACCAAAGAATGAGGAACTCCAGAAGTCTATACTTGAGGAGGCTCATTCCTCAGCTTATGCTATGCATCCAGGAGGTACTAAGATGTACCGAGATCTGAAGGAAAGTTACTGGTGGTCAGGTATGAAGAAGGATATTGCAGAGTTTGTGAGTCGATGCCTTACTTGCCAGCAAGTTAAGGCAGAGCATCAGCACCCAGCAGGGCTCTTACAACCACTCACCATCCCAGAGTGGAAGTGGGAACATGTGACCATGGACTTCGTGGTGGAGCTGCCACGAACAGTGAACAACTACGATGCAGTATGGGTAGTGGTTGATAGGCTCACCAAGAGTGCACACTTTCTGCCTATCAACATTACTTATCCCCTTGAAAGATTGGCCAAGCTATACACGGAGGAGATTGTGAGATTACATGGAGTCCCAATATCCATTGTCTCGGATAGGGATCCACGATTCACATCCCGATTTTGGCCAAAGTTTCAAGCATCGTTGGGTACTAAACTGAAGTTTAGCACAGCTTTTCACCCACAGACGGATGGACAGTCCGAACGGGTGATACAGATTTTGGAAGACATGCTTAGGGCATGTGCGCTGGAGTTCCAAGGAAGTTGGGACAAGCATTTGGCCCTAGTGGAGTTTGCTTATAACAACAGTTATCAAGCAAGTATCGGCATGCCCCCATATGAGGCATTGTATGGGAGGAAATGCAGAACACCATTGTGTTGGGACGAGGTTGGCGAGGCCAAACTCGAAGGGATAGAGCTGGTTGAGATCACCAAGGCCAAGGTGAGGATCATTCGGGACAGACTGAAGGCCGCTCAGGATCGACAGAAGAGTTATGCCGATAAACGGCGGAGACCGTTAGAGTTCGAAGTTGGTGATGAGGTCTTCCTAAGGATTTCTCCTTGGAAGGGCATCATTCGATTTGTATCAAGGGGAAAGCTTAACCCCCGATACATCGGTCCCTTTGAAATCCTTGAAAGGATAGGGGCTGTGGCTTACCGTCTCAAGTTGACGCCTGAACTTGAGAAGATACATGACGTGTTTCATGTATCAATGCTCAAGAAGTACATACGAGACCCATCTCATATTCTTGAGAAACCACCGGTAGAGATCCGTGAGGACTTGCAATATGCGGTGGAACCAGTGAAGATTGTTGGTCAACAAGTGAAGAAGCTTAGGAATAAGGAGATTCCTATGGAAAAGGTTCTTTGGAGGAGTGATCGAGTCGAAGAAGAAACTTGGGAGACCGAGGTCTCAATGAGGGAGCAATACCCATTTCTTTTCGATTAGATACTTGGATTTCGGGGACGAAATCCCAAATAAGGGGGGGTGAACTTGTAACACCGTCCCCAAATATATTTACTTTTATGTAAATAATGTATTGAACCTTATTAAAGAATTAATGAATTTACGAAGTTGTAAATTTTTATTATTTCTTTCGCGTGGATAGTAAATTGCACGTGGGACCCACACCGGGAGCGGGGGCCGCCCGACACTCCCGAGACCACATATTTTATCCATCTTAGTCAAGATAATATTTATATAGTGGTGGATATTTAATTTGGGTCGTGGAAAGGCGCAGAGTTGGCCGATTGGGAAAAAAGAGGTCCAATTACCGGTACCGACAATTTAACAGGTAACAGCCCGGAAATGAATTTCGGAGGCTTATAAATTAAAGTTGGGGAATGTATATTCATTATACATGTCATAATGAGTAAGAGCACATAATATATTTTATTTGACCCGATAAAATAAAATATGATTAAAACAGTCCGAAAAAATACAACTTTCGGGGCCGATTGTACATTTCGGGACAAGTTGGGATGACCTCCCACATGAGTGGGGGCCACCCCACGTTTTTGGGTCTCAAATGGGACTTGTGTGGCCGCACAACATGTGAAGATGAAGCTAAATTGATTGGAATGGGATCATTTGAGGTGTGGACCTCACCCACACACATTATTTGTCAATTAAGACAAGGAAGGACACTTCCTACCTCTTTCCTCATCCTTGTGCTCGACCAACCCCTCCAAGAAGAAGAAAATTGAACTCTCAAAACACTCTCCATTGCTGCAACTCGAGCTCAAGCCATAGAGGTCCAAGGAGGAAGATTTGAGAAGGAAAAATCTAGGAAAAGTGTGAATAATAAAGGTAATGACATCATATTAACTTTTCCTTTATTCTTCTTCTACCATATGAAGTATATATCATGTGAAGAACCTTTATTATGGTTCCATATGATATAAGGGTGGATTCATGGGTTGGAAGATGGTTCTATGTCCAAGAACGGACTTAGAGGCCAAAACTACCGGTTCACCGGAAAATAACCTTTTTGAGGTCATTTGTATTAACATGGGTTTTATGACTATAAAACCTTGTTAGGAACTTGTAAAGGGTATTTCAAGTGGTTTCACAAAGTTGGAAAAGTCGCCGGAGTTGTCGCCGGAGTTGACCAAAAGTCACCGGAGTTTCACCGGAGTTCAACCAAGAGGGGTAGAACTTCATACGCTAGTTCAAGGTGAGTGGACGGCTTAATATCTTATAACTTTTGGGTTAATTATGAGATTACCTAAATAAATGTTATATGAGTTCATAATAATGTTTAAAAGATATTTAAACATGTGATTAGCCAATAGGGTTAAGTTTGTATGAAAGAAATTAATTGTTGATGCATGGAATATGATATGAAGAAATATATGAAATGCATATTTGCTTGAAGTGTATTAGAAGCACAAATGAATATTATTAACTTAATTATATGATGATTAAGTTGATACACACAAGGCATGAAATGGCGGTCAACGAAAACGTGGACCGAAGAACAAAGGATTTAATTAATACAGGTTGGTATTAACTAAATATAAATCTATATACATGCATGGTTTTGCATGGGTTGTGATACATAAGAATTTATGTATTGGATTAGTTATGAGTAACTAAGTATGATATAGACTCTATCTAGGTTGATAGGAGGTTGATAATAGGAAAACTTGGTGGAGGACCCTAGTACTTAAAAAGTACTTAACACTCAAACTTGGTGGAGGACCCTAGTACTTAAAAAGTACTTAACACTCAAACTTGGTGGAGGACCCTAGTACTTAAAAAGTACTTAACACTCAAACTTGGTGGAGGACCCTAGTACTTAAAAAGTACTTAACACTCAAAACTTGGTGGAGGACCCTAGTACTTAAAAAGTACTTAACACTCAAACTTGGTGGAGGACCCTAGTACTTAAAAAGTACTTAACACTCAAAACTTGGTGGAGGACCCTAGTACTTAAAAAGTACTTAACACTCAAACTTGGTGGAGGACCCTAGTACTTAAAAGTACTTAACACTCAAAACTTGGTGGAGGACCCTAGGACTTATGAGGCCTTAACACTCACAAACCGGTGGAGTATCCGAGGATTTTGATCCTAAAACTCATAAATTAGGATATACAAATAGGGCCAAGGAGGAGTCCTATACACTCATAGGTATATGGGTGGGTTGGGGTTTTTAGTCAAGAATATTGACTATTACTATTTTCCCGAATAAAATGGTGATCTACGGATCGGATATTTTTCAAGTATACATATACTAATAAGTATTTCATAACTTGGGGGAAAGATTATTTATTTAAGTATCACCCTATGTTTGGGTCTTATACTTGAAACGCTAGTTATTCTATATTTAGCCTGCTACTCGCTCGGTACTTGTACTGACCCCTTCGGGGGGCCCCACCATTTTCAGGTTGAAGCTAGGGCTTGCTACTTGCACCTTCTCACGGGTGATATCAAATCAGGAAGACGTGGTTCGTGCTTCCTTATTTTCTTTCAAACTACCGAACACTTGCTCATGGGTATTTGTTTTACTATAAACACTTTTTTGGGCTTGCATGCCCATGTTGTTGGCCGGTTGTGGCTCATGACTTACCGTTGAATATTTCCGCTATTCATTGGTTTAAATGTGATGTTGTTATGTATGTTTACTACTGAGTATGGATGAATTGTTTTCTCGAACGCCTTGTGTAATTAAGTGAGGTTGACTCGTGGGTGACGTCACTTAGTTATACGGCGGTTGTACACGCGCTTGGATCGCGGTCTGGGGCGTGACATTAGAACGCTGAATATTTCTCACCAACTCCGGTCACCGGCGACGGCGGTATTCATAGAGGTAAGTTTTGATTTTATTCTCCTTCTCTTCCTTCATCTCTTCATCTCCTTCTTCTTCTCTTTCTTCCGTCTTCTCTTATTTTGCTTGGAGGCATAGCCTCGTTTTTTTGAAGCTTGAAGCAGTTGGCTCAATTATCAAACAATCAAAATGATAACATCGGGCTTTTTTATTTGATTTTTTTTCCCACTTTCTCCCCTGTTTTGAGATCTGTTTTTTTTTTTGTTGATTTCCTTTATCCATTTTTTTTGTTTTGTCATTCAATTTTGTTTCATCTTTTGTTCTTTTGACATTTTTATTTATATTTTACAATACATATTGCAATTTTTTACATTGGATTCCATTCAGTATTTTTGTAATTTCGAGATTATTTTTTGGTTTGAATGTAAAATTGCCATCATCACTATGCCTTTTCCTCCTTTAATTTTCTTTCAATTTTTCTTCCAACTTTTTTTTTTTAACTTTTTATTTTCATATCAATCAATTTTTTATATTCTTCAAATTAGTTTTATATGATTTGAATTCCAAATGTCCATAATTGCTTTTAAATTTAGACATTGAAATGGAAATATTACTCTTTTGCAAATAATGTCATGTTTGTGTATGTTAACATATTATTTTGACATTTATTGTCATTTTTATGGTACTAAATCTTTCTAGATGAAAAACAAGACCAATAATGCCATATTTCTTTCATATCTAAAAAAACGTAATTTTTGCACATAGTGCCATTTTATGGCACAAACTATGTAGTGATGGCAATATTATTTCCCCTGCAAATCTAACATTATTTATAGTGTCAATAAAAGGATACTAACATTCATATCTTTGTTAATTATAAAAATTCTATATAAAATGATTTTCAAATGGTGAGGTGGTATTATAAATCATTTTTTTTCAGATTTGAAAGTTGTTATAGTGGATCCAAACATGGTAGTGGTTCCACAAGAGGTGTGGCGTTGAACAAGTAGAATGGGATCCGGCAGCGGCAACGGCAGCTGCGATGTAGATACAGGCGTTGATGACTGACCAACGGCGGCGGCGCCTAACGGCGGCGGCAAGGGACGACTAGTGGCGGTGATTGGCGGACTGGTTGTGACTGGCGGTGCAGGTCCTGCCCCTGGTGGTGCCGGCGTCAACTTATGGTTGGGGTGGTCATGAGGAGAAAATAAGTTGTTGACTTTTGTAGTGCATTAATTAGCTTAGTTTTCATTTAGGGCATTCTTGTCTCTTACTATTAATTTCGGTATGACAAACTACATGTGAGATAGGAGTCCTACTTTTGCATATTTGATATGTTTTACTCCTAAATTGGGAATTCTCTCTAAATTTAAAAGGAAAATTACAATCAATTGCCTGTCGAAAGGTACAGCCGGTCTACGATTTTTCATTCTTATACGAAGTACGTAGTATAAGATATCAAACAAGCTTTGTTTGCCGCCAAGTTTTCTTATTTTGCCCTAATGCCCTCAAACTCTCCCACCATGTAAAACATTTCACACGGAAATGTTTTCAAAAAGTACTCTACAATTTATATCTAATAATTAAAACAAATGGTGTAAAGTGGTTACGTCCCTACATTTTACATGCAAAATGTTTACTTTACATTATACCAAACAGGCCCTAAGATGAAGATGGACGAACGTTTGTAAAAACGCTGAGATCGAAAAAGAGTGAAGATCACAATGCAGACGTCGATAGAAATTGTCACTACAGTCAAGTAGAAGCATCGACGCCATGTAACAGGTATGATCTCATAATCATTGATCGATAAGATATCTTAAAATCTCTAAGAAACGAATTTTATTTTGAAATAATTTTTTTGTCCATTTGAAATTTGATTATTATGTGTCTTTGTATGTTCGGTTTTATGATGATGTGCTTTTTAGTGACACTTTTGTACTTATAGTTGCTAATTTAGTAACTCATTGAACTAAATAACTTTTAGTTGTAGTAACAGTACACTCACATTCAGTAGCAAATTATATGTAATTGCGGATTCAGCTATGTGCACATGCAGGGGCGGATCCAGGAATGAGGGGTGGGGTGGGCTAAGCAGTAAATTTTTTTGTTGCTGCACACAAAAGGTTTAGCTTAGGATTGTTGTCAAACTAAGATGTTTTCGAACTACTCGATTTCAAACGTGATTTTGAATTTAATTTAACCACCCGAGTTTAACGAGCTTCGAACTTGAAAACATGCTAGATTTTGAGTTCGAATAGTTATTCAATCTGAGTTCGAGCTTAGTGATGTTTGGTTCGATTCGGTCTCTAGCAGAAAAAATTATATATTTCTAAAATTTAAACATTTTAGTAGGATTTTATAAATTTATTAATTAAATATTTTAGTATTTCAAAATTCAATTAAACTTTTTAATTCTTTTTAAACTTTTTAAATCACTTTTTAATCTTGAATTGTGTAATAAATAAATCATTCTCTAATCTTTAATTATATCTTTAATCATTATAAATTTACAATGAATAAACACTATTTTATTATATACTGCAAAATTCAATTAATAATCAAATTGATTAACAAAACTAAAACACAGCTATACAATTGCTCCAGAACTTCTGTGTTAATCAAATATTCAAGTAGATTAACAATGTTTCACAAAATATTACAATACTTAAGAATTAATATAGACATCAAATCAATTACAAAATCTTAAAGTATACTATCAGCCGAGTGGCCCGAGTGTGTGTATTATTTTGTTATTATTAATTGTTTAGTTAACTAATTAGTTGATGGATCTCAAATGTTACGTAATATAGATTTAAAAAGCTAGATTTGGACTAACATGTGAAGGTTGTTTAGTGGATGGGAAGTCGCACACCATTCAGCCAACTCAGGATCAATTCTTGTGTGCGCTAGTTCTTGATGTCTACTGGGTTTAATTTTTAGGTGGGCTGGGATTAATTCTTGGATGGGCTGGACGTAAATATTATACCTATACTACTTAAAACCAAAAAAGTTGGGCTGGGCTGGAGCCCACCCTTGCCCTAACTATGATCCGCCCATGTGCACATGTGACGGGTATTTTGTGTAGCTGTGTAACTGCAACTGAAAAAATGCATAACTGTAACGAACTGAGGTTCTTGTAACTTAACTGACAGCTGTAACTCAACAGATGTGTAAGTGTAACTGTAACAGAGAGCGTGTGTAACTGTAATTGATAGCGTGTGTAACTGACGTGTAACTGCAACGAACTGAATGTCTATGTAACTGTAACTGAATAGTTGTTTAACTATAACTGAATATCTAGGTAACTGTAACTGAAGAGTTTGTTAGTGTCTTTATTTATGTACATGGAAATAATCTGCATGAATACGTTACATGTCCATGATGATATTCTCAAGCCACTAAATGCTTTACCTTATAATATAATTACGCATCACATGGGCAGCACCAGATTTGCTCCATTTTAGCAATAGAGGATTTCCCTTTTTTCCTATTTATTTATTCCATCGTAATTACGTAGTACTACCTCGGTAACATTGGGATGTTCCCATTTGAAAAGTAGGTAGATTAAAATAGTGAAAGGAGATATGTATTATTGGGGGTATGATAGGAAGATAGTGAAGTAATGTGATGGAATGAAGGATACAACAACAACAACATCCAAGCCTTAGTCCCAAACGATAATGGGGTCGGCTAACATGAATCGATATATGATATCACATTATCACCAAAAGGAAAAGAAAGAAAATAAAGATAAAAAAGATAAGCTATTATAAAAAAAAAAATAATATAAAAGAGATGAATATACATATAAAAGATCAAATAAAAAGGATAAAGTAATATTTATATATAAGGATAAAGATATAAAAGAAAAAGAAAAAAAAAAAAAAGAAGAAGAAGAAAAAAAAAAGATGATACAAGATCACTCCTCAACACGAATACCTGCCCTCCATTTTGCTCTCTCCAAAGCCATACCCTCATCCAATCCAAAAAGAAGCATATCACTTCTGACTCCCCTAACCCACGTCTGTTTGGGCCTTCCTCTCCCTCTCTTCCCTACCTCTTCTCCACACATCTCAACTCGTCTGACAGGTGCATCACTCGGTCTTCTATGCACATGACCAAACCACCGTAGGCGTGACTCCCGCATCTTATCTTCAATAGGTGCTACTCCCACCCTTTGTCTAATTGTCTCATTCCTCACGCGGTCCTTTCTAGTATGCCCACACATCCAACGCAGCATGCGCATCTCTGCCACACTCATCTTTTGAATGTGACATTGTTTCACCGCCCAACACTCCGTGCCATACAGTAATGCCGGCCTAATTGCTGTCCTATAAAATTTACCCTTCAGTCTAGTCGGCATACCTCGATCGCATAGAAATCCTGACGCACTCTTCCACTTCATCCACCCTGCTCTGATTCTATGGGATACATCTCCATCTAACTCACCGTCCTTCTGAATTATGGAGCCCAAATAACGGAACATATCGCTGACTGGTATCTCCTTACCATCTAAAGTAATTCCGCTATTACCACTGCTTCTACCTCCACCAAACTTGCACTCCATGTACTCTGTCTTGCTCCTACTTAGTCTGAAACCCTTGTTCTCCAATGTCTGTCGCCATACTTCCAACTTTGCTTTAACCCCTGATTGCGTCTCATCAATCAATACAATATCGTCGGCAAACATCATGCACCACGGTATATCGTCTTGAATTGACTTTGTAAGTTCATCCATGACTATGGCAAATAAAAAAGGGCTAAGAGCCGATCCTTGGTGCACTCCGATAGTAATAGGGAACTTCGCAGTCCTCCCTACACTAGTACGGACACTAGTAGTACAATCCTCATACATATCCATGATGATGCTGATATACTTGTGTGATGGAATGAAGGATAAATCCAAAAAAAGTAGGTGTAATAGTGTATTATTTTTTAAATTATTGAGGGTATGATTGGAAGATTTAGAAATGAGAAGATATAAATGTTACGTCCAGAAAAGGAAAGTGGGAAGATATGAATGTTACGGAGGGAGTATTTCTTTCCATATACTTAGTGGCAGTTTATGTAGAATAGCAAATCCCACGGCAAATGATGTATATATATTCAGCTGTACATTCTGGGCAGAACATGAATGAGAATAATTTTACAAAAACATTACATCCGTGATCCGTATATTCAGGGGCGGACCGTAGTACAGACCCAGGGGGGCTGCCGCCCCCCAACAATTTTTTTTTAGTATATATATATATACAAAATTTTTATTTTTACCCCCCAACATTTAATTCTCGCCCCTCCAAGAAAAATTTTGAACCCCCCCAAAAAATATTTTCTCTCCCAAAGCATAGCCCACTCGCAGAAACCCAATTGTTTAAGAGCTTAAAAATAGAAATTTTACAAGTAATATTATATCAACTCACTCCAAAATTTATTCCCCATTAACCCACCCCAAAATCTAATCTCAGTCCACCGCCCAGACCAAACTAATGAAAAACATGCGCACCTAGAAGAAAGAAACGGAAAGATCGATTATTTTTAAATGATTGTCCTTATGCTTACTATGTTCATTGTTTAGCACATCAGTTGCAATTAGCATTGGTTGCTGCTTCTAGAGAGGTGAAATATGTGCACAATTTTTTCATCGATTCAGTCTTTATTATTAATGTGACTAATTCTTCTTGCAAACGAAGTGATGAATTAAAGGAAGCTCAAGCACTTGAAATTGCAAGAATGTTGGAAATTGGTGAGCTTGAAACAAGCAGAGGACTTAATTAGGTTGGTACATTACAACAAGCTGGGGAAACTCGTTGGAGCTCACATTTCAGTTCTGTTTGCAGTTTGATTAGGATGTTTGTTGCAACTTGTTCTATTTTAGAAGATGTTGAAGAGAATGACAATAACTATTCTACTCGTGGAAATGCAGCTAGAGAACTTAAGAAGATTAAATCTTTTGATTTTGTTTTCTTGTTGCATCTTATTAAAGAAATTATGGGCATTACAGATCTTCTATGTCAGCATATACAGAAGAAGTGCCAAGACATAGTAAATGCTATGCATTTGGTGTCAAGCACCAAATTGTTAAAGAGTTTTGCACAAAGCATGAAATTGAAGTTCCTAATATGAAATCTCCTTATGCGTAAAACACAAACGCCATTATCAAGAAAGGTTTGATATTGAATGTCACTATCGGGTTGATATGTTTTACGCAGTCATAGATTCATAATTGTTGGGGCTGAATAGCAAATTCGGTGAACAGATAATGGATCTTCTTACTCTTAGTGGTGCTTTGGATCCTAAGGACTCATATAAGTCTTTTAACATTGATGATATTTGTTCTTTAGTGGATAAATATTACCCCTTTGATTTTATTGAGCAGGAGAAGGTGAGCTTGAGATTTCAATTGAAAGATTATAAGCTCAATGTTCTAAACCATCCAAAGTTGGCGAATTTTTCTACAATGGGTGAACTTTGTCAAAGATTAGCGGAGACGGAGATGTCAAAAGTGAACTTTCTTAGCTTGTTGATAAATTGATCCGATTTTTGTTGACTCTACCGGTTTCGACAGCAACAACCGAAAGGACTTTTTCCGCAATGAAAATTATAAAAACAAGGCTTCACAATAAAATGGAGGATGAGTATGTTGCAAACAACCTTATTGTTTATATTGAAAGAGAAATTGCTAAAACTTTTGACTAAAAAGCCGTGATTGAGGAATTTATCTCGTTGAAGAAGCGTTGGGTACAATTCTAAGGTACTAACTTTAACTATTTTGTAATAATATATTTGTCTCTTCTTCTATTATAATGCTTCATTTAATTACTACTCCGTATTATATTAAGGTTATAACTTATAATAATAATCGCCTAGATTTTTTTGTTTAAATTATCGCCCCCCAATATCAATTTCCTGGGTCCGCCCCTGCGTGTATTCACCGTTCAAATATGGTATCAGAGCCGCGACTCGTGGACTGCGCTCTCTGACATTTTTTGACAAACATGACGAACGATGCGGCCATTTCAGCAGCTAATGGAACTGGACGGATTTGTGAAGTGATAATTTCTAATGCCATCGGCTCAGGAGGAATCTCACTGGAAGACACACGACTCATGAGAAATTCCAAGGATGATGTGGGTTCCCTACCAAATTTCTCTAATGAACAGCAGCCAGGTTTGCTTAAATTAATTGAAAATATTAGGGCCACATCATCCGATGGAAAATTGTCCGGTAAACGGTGTGAGGTAGATTGGCTTCTTAATTCAGGAGCTTCATATCATATGACAGGTTGTGCTCAACTTATGACCTCTAACAAAAAATTAACTCCAATACTAGTGAGCATGCCGAACGGCGAAACCACACATGCGACAAGTGTAGGAGACATACATTTAAGCCCTGAGATTGTAATTAAAAATGTTCTCCATGTACCAGGACTTAAGTGTAATCTTATTTCTATAGCTCGGCTGATCGATGACTTGAAATGTGATATATATTTTACTACTGAAATTTGTGTGATACAGGGCCGACCTTCGAGGACGCCGATAGGAGCGGGTATACGGCAAGGGGGGTGTACTATTTCCACAGCTTTGAATTGGCCCAGTCTCATTCGGCGACTACGGAAGAACAAGGTGAATTATGGCATTTACGGTTAGGGCATTTGTCCTTGAAAGTGATGAAATCGGTTCCTGGCATGAATAATTTATTTGTTAAAATTAATAAAACGTGTGACGCATGTTTGAGGGCTAAACAGACACGGGCTAAGTTTTTTGTTAGTACTACTAAAGCTGTTGAACCATTTGAATTGATTCATTATGAGTTTATGACATATGGAAGGAATGGATACAACACTAAGGATGAAGGGGATATATCTGAGTAGAGATCATTTGCCAGTTCAAAACAAGAACATCTAATCCTACCGTTCTTGATGTAGGGATGATGACTGCAAGTGGGTTGTGCACGATATCATGATAGAGGCGACAAATTGCTTTGAAATCAGAAGGTATGAGCACAAACATAAAAGTAAATTCTTACGAATAGAGCTAAATAAAAAATGCGCCGTGGATATTCGAAAGCCTAGGGGCGAACAATAAAAAATGAGCCTAATTTTAAAAAAAATTGTAAAACACTTTTCTACCTAAATAAAAATGCAAAATAATAATATTTAAATATCTTTAGAATAAAGAAAATACTTGAATTTGTTAAATTAAACATAGTCGAATAATGTTTTCAAAATAACCGAATAAAAAATTATTTAATGATAAATAACGCCCTGATACAATACACTTGCTAAGGCCGGTATCATCAACTATAGCGTCATAATCAAGCTTTTCTAAGACATTATTATGCTCAATACTTAATATAGCTAATCAATTAGTTAAATTTATAAATTTAACTAATTGGACTGCACGTTAGTTCTTCCTTTCTTTCAATTTTGGGCCTTTTGCGTTCTTGGGCTTCTGAACTTGTACAAAATTATTAATTTTGGTTAAAACTTAGCCTACTCAAATATACTATAAAGAAATAATCTGGGCCTAAAAAATTTTCATTTTTTTTTGGGCCTAGGGCGCCCGCCCCACCTGCCCCCCAGGGCCGCCCCTGCTAACAATTATTTTTGTGATTGTAGGTTTGATCATGTACATTCTTGCTCCTTTGACTGCCGAATTAGAGGGAATTAGACAAGCAACTGGCACCATTATTGGGAAACAAATCAAACATCAATATCTTGATGCATCTAGAAAACCTTATCCACCAAATGCAATAATGACATATTTGAATCGAGAGTTGAGTTTGAAAATGAATTAGAAAAAGGCATGCGGGGGGGAGGAAAGCGCATTGACTGCACTTACACGAACAGACACAGGATCATATCGGAAACTACGGGGAGTGTATTGCATTAAGATTTAGTGGCAAAATTATAAAAGTTCATGAATTTTAAAAGTTTAGTTGCATTCGATGTAGACTTTTAAAAGTCCTAAAAAGTCTAATAAAGGTATTCAATGTAGACATTTAAAAGTCTATAAAAGTATATGCGTATTCAAACTTGCGTTCATTCTTATTGATTTCTAAAATCATGGATTCTCGCGGACTTTTGACTCATTCTTTGTACATTAGTTCTCTGCAACTGTCTTTCCTCCTCATCAAAGATTTCCGCAGATTTTTCGGTTGTCTTCTATTTGTCACAAGTACGCATAAAAATCTTGTTGCAGAATAACACTATATTTGTCTAATTATTTACCCGAGATCACAAATCAGGTCTTGGACTAGTACCAAATGGGTCAGGAGGTAGGTACCGAGATGGTCTCAATACACAAAATTTGAAAATTAAATTCTGATTTTGTATCATTCTATGATAAATAAAGTTGAACAAAGAGATTCTACATTAATATTGATACACAAGATAAAATTAAAAAAAAAATGTTTTTCATATATCGTGTTACGAAGAAAAATGTAGGGGTGAGACGAGTTCAAGTCTTTAAAGGAAATTAGGAACCATGTGAAGAACCATTAGTCTAATATCAATTCGGCTCTAGAAGTTTTTAGAAGAACCGATATAAGAATCGATAGTGTTATTATATTGGTGCAATTCTGGTATGTTGTCAATTAAGCATTAACTATTATTGTGTTTCATCATTTAACCGCTAACACATAAAAATATAATTTCAAATTAATAAATATTTAACCTATAAAAGTAAACAAAATTTAACAAGCTAATAATGAAAGAAAAATATTAAAAAGAAAAACGCAATTGCACCTATGCTCGTACCACATGAAGCAATGGGTGTAACGATTAGTGTTCTTTCTCATTGAGTTGTGTAGTATGACAATTGATCATAAAGAGTGAGTTTGTTGAGCATTCTCAAAGCTTTGAGTTTTTTATTAATAAAAATAAATTTGCATGCTTATGCTTCATTTATTCTTATAGAACTCTGCGTTGCTAAATAAATTTCATTTGCTTCATTTATTTATTTTATTGTTTTTTGTCATATTATATAGAGGAAATTACTCACGGTAAGACCAAAACATAGCATTCTTTCCAAAATATGATCATATGTTTGATTTTCCTTAAATAGGACTAAACATTACATTCCTACTCCAAATTTAATTCATTAATATAATTAATTACCCCTAGTTCTCTTGCATAACCAAAGTCATATTGTTGGTGGCGGATCAATCTGATGACGGTGGTGGCAAACTGCGGTGACGGAGGCGGACTGCGGTGAGATTCAAGCAGATCAGCAGCAGCGATCTGGGTGAGAATTCTGACGACCGGCAGCGGTGGTCCAGATTTAAAAGTCTATGGACTTTTAAAAGTCTAAAAACTTATTCATGGATTTAAAAGTCAAAAGAATTCATTCATAAAAAAATTCATGTCACTAGATGCTTTGAGAAAAGGTTGGAAAAGTTGTCATCCAATTATTAGTGTGGACGGATCATTTTTTAAAGAAAAACTCCAAGGTACTATTCTGAGTGTATTTGCACTTGATGCAAATTGGTAAATTTTCCCATTAACGTTTTGCGTTATGAAAGGGCTAAGAAATATGCATGGTACTGGTTTTTTACAAAACTGAATGAAGCCATTGGGGAAAGACCTCATCTATGCATAGTTTCAGATAGGAATGAAGGATTGATCGGTGCTTTAAAAGATGTTTATCCGGAGGCAGATCATGGACATTGAATCCAACATATATTGGGTAACATAACAACAAAATATGGAGGAAAAAAGGAAAAAGTTATCTATTTTTGTAGTGCTGTAGCACGGGCGGCTACAAATAATTTGTGGGACTCTTACATTAAGTTATTAGATGCAGAGGATCCCAATATTAGAAAATACTACCTTCGTCCCCCTAATATTAGGACGGAAGAGAGTGACGTGGTTTTTAAGAAAAATAGAATTATGTGGTTGATAATGAGTTGATAAAGTAAGAATAAAGAACGAATTAGAACCACACAAATGTTACAAATATGGTATGAGACAATAATAGAGAAACATCCCAAAATGAAAAATGGGATAATTATAGGGGGACAGAGGTTACTTAGTTGTAACCTCCAACAATGTTGAGTCATTAAACACAATTTATGTGACAGTAAGAGACTATCCAATATTAATGTTAATTGAGTTTGTAATATCAAGGATGCAACAATGGTTTCTTATTAAAAGGGACTTAGCTACTTCAAATAAATCCATATTATGCGATGCATTTGAAGAGGTGCTGATAAACCTTATGATGGACTCTACATGGATGATTTTAAGTTACCTACAAATCATTGCTTTTGTATTTTAAAACAGTGACCTTGTTATATATACAATCAATTCTTTTTTAAGAATCTGAAATAGTACGTTAGTTAGTATGTAGTGTTGTTATACATTCATGTAAGACTAAGTATGGTTTTTTGTTTGAAGTGATTGACAAATCATGTAGAGCATATGTGGTTGACCTTGAAGCAAAAACATGAACCTGTAGAGAGTTTCAGTTCGATGACTTTGTATGTGCACATGTCGTTGCAGCCATAGGACGGAGGACATGAATATCTTGTTATGACTACATCTCAGTGTAATACCAATGAAGTGTGTGGTTTGAAGCATATAGAGGGGGTGATTCATCCTTTATGCGATTAAACTGTTGAAGATGTTCCAAATGAATATAAAAATTGGTTGGTGGAATCAACTAGTTTCTGAGTGGCGAACAACGTGAGGGCCGAAAAACAAACAAATTTCTGCTCTGGTGAGCTTATGTCATGACAGGGGTGTGGGCGGTGCAAACAACATGGCCACAATCAAAAGACGTGCAACAATCGAGTACCAATTTTCCTAGATAGATTTAAAATAGATTTATTTGCTTATTTGTGTGGTTTGGCAGAAAATGGCTTTACTTTAGTTGTGATTGTACACTTCAAAATTACTAAACATTTTATCATTACATGCTTTCAATTCATAAGTGTTTACAAACTGAAAATGTATAATGTTTAGAATGTAAAGACTATAGTTTGTTTTTGCTCCATTTTGATCTATCTGTTACCAAATTTTGATCACCACACATTACATCATTCAAATTACCATCCACGATTGCTACTTTTAGATGACATTTACCAGATTTATAATCAAACAACTCATTTATTCATAGTACAGTGCACGGCCAACAGTAGAGAACTTTTTCACATCGATTTATGCATAGATATAGGACATATCATGTCGGTTATTTGACCTATTTCACATCGATTTTTGAAGTGTCATTGAAAGTTGGGTCATTATAACTCTGTCCATTTTACATTGGTTTTTGAACCGCCGTGAAAACTGTCGAACCACGTAGTTTTCGGTTAAACAGACGTTACACAGCGAACTTGAATTCACAAATCACATCGGTTTGTAAGAATAAATGAGGTGAATAACTTACATCCAAGTATCCAACATCTCATTTCCGAAAACCCATTGTTGTGAACAAAAGTTACTTTTTTTAACACATTACAAGTCAGTTTATCTACAAAAGCGGCGTAGTTGCCAGGTATCAAATTTTCCAGTTCCACAAAACATAGAGACCGCTCAACACGCTATTTAACATCACTAAGAATGTCTCAATAACATTCTACCAAGCATTCAAAAAATCCAATGCTAGTTCACCAATGCAAAATTATATCACGATTCCAAAAAGTATGCTAGTTCTCCAATACAAAATTATATCATGAATACAAAAAGTATGCTAATTCACCATTACAATCTTACTTATACTACATAATAAAAAAAGAATGAAGATGTTTTTACTTAGACTATTTTCAGTCTCAGACCAGACCAGACCAGACCAGGTTAGATCAAACAAGACCACAAAATTTTAATCCAAGTAAAAACATCCTGAAAGTTCAGCTTTGCAATTATCCCTTCAATGCAGTTTTCTGTATCAGATTTGTCACCATGATTGTCAAGATCACAAGTCGTACTTGCATAAAGCTTTACACCACATTCGTCGGACAATATCTAGATCGCCTAGTGTATATTTCTGACAAATATCTACATCAACATAAGTAATGCAATATGTTATGTATCAATATTTCTGTGTTAAAATATACTCTCTTCGTCCCAATATAAAAGGCACACTTTCCTTTTTGGGATGTCCCAATATAAAAGGCACATTTCCCTTTTTGGCAAACAAAACAGTGCCAAACAGTGTCTAAACAGTGCTAAACAGTGTTTCTCCTAATAATTGTGTGAAAACGCAAATGTGCTCTTTATATTGGGACGGAGGGAGTAGATTTTTTCCACTATATATGTAATAAACTACATACCTTGTTCATGTTTTGATTTGTTTGTGCGGAGATGATGTCATACATGAATCTCATTACATAATAACCACATTCCACATTTCCTACTTACATTGGGCACTATGTTAAAAAAAAGTACACATGAGTATCATAACAATTTATTATTAAACAACAACTTAATACAATTGGGCTTACCGGACAAACAGTCCATTTCGTAGTCCATGTTGATATCAATGAATTCATCGGCATGCACTCCAATTGCTAGTGTTTTTGTTAATTGAAACTCTCTAGACATGCCTGTTAAATCAATGGATGATAGAAATTTAGGATTCATAAAACTAGTAAAACAAACTGAATTAAGTCAATCAAACTCTCTAGACATGCCTGTTGAATTAAGTAAAACAAACTCTCTAGACATGCCTATTAAATCAAACTAGACACAGAATAATGTAATTAATAAATTAGTCAAACAAACTGTTAAAACTAGTAAAAATAAGTAAACATATAAAACGAAAACAGAAACTTAAAACAAATAAAACAATAAACAGTAAAACTAAATTAAGTCAATCAAACTGCTAAAACAGTAACTATTAATACTAAAACAAAAAATTAAACGATTATATCAAACATCTATACCATTTTTTGAACATGAGTTGTGACCGGAATACGACCACCCCGATATTGAGATTGTTTAGCTTTCTCCGAGTTACGGTTTCATTTTCCTAGTAGACTTTTCTTCTTAAAAGCATCACTTGCCCAATACTCTTTCAAAACCAACCAATCTTTATCACTAATCCAATCCGGCTTCTGGTTGTTACGCCTTGCCCGACC